AGTGAAGCTTTTTTTTCTCATTATACATTCATTTGATGGTTTGCATTATTATTATTTTAAAAACTGTTCTCGATTAGAAGATAGTTAGGATAAAGTTATTCAAACACTTCTGACTTAGAAATTTTTGGTTTAAGTCGAACCGACCAAAGAAGTCTAAGTTGAGAACCTGCGTTGTATGCACCTGAGTATGTGATTTTCTCTAGCTAGAGTAATTCATTTTTTTCTGAGAAACTGGCTCTTATGCACTTTAATTGCACATTTGCCTTTTGGGTAGTTTTAAATAATGGGTGAAAAAGTTATTAATAATTAAAGAGTAACTTAAAATCGTAGGAAACAGTGAAGCTTCTTTTTCTCATACATTGATTTGACCGTTTGAATTAGTAAAATTTTGTAGTTTCTACTCTTTTATAATTTAGGTGCTCGTTGTTATGGTAAATCATTCGATGGGAAGGAGGGTGACGGACGTGCAAGTTTTAATCGTTTTTGGTATGATAAATTTGAACGTGAGTGCAAACCATTCATTTATGGTGGTATTGGTTTATCATATGAAACAGATAATATATTTAATACAAAAGAAGAATGTTACCAAGCATGTAAAGAATAAAGTTTTATCTCTTACGCCGCTCAAGTTTGTAACAAATGTATTTATTTTAGGTAAACTGGTGATCGGTGGCAAAGAAAACGGTAGGTTTGTGTTATTATTTTCAAAAAGAATTTCACATAGGTTGCTAATTAATAATTAAAAAATCATTAACAGTAGGTTAAAATTGTGAGAAACAGTGAAGCTTCGTTTTCTCATAGATCTGTCCGTTGGAATTAATAAAATTTCTAGATTCCCTTTTACAATTTAGTTGGTCGTTGTTATGGTAAATCATTGCATGGTAAGGAGGGTGAGGGACGCGCAAGTTTTAATCGTTTTTGGTATGATGCGTTTGAACGTGAGTGCAAACCATTCATTTATGGTGGTATTGGTTTATCATATGAAACAGATAATATATTTAATACAAAAGAAGAATGTTACCAAGCATGTAAAGAATAAAGTTTTATCTCTTACGTAAGAGTTACAAATTACAATTTGAAATAAATAGTTTACAAATTAGTTTGAAATTTATTGTAATTAGTGTTTGAATTAGTGTTAATTGGTGTTTGAAAAATAAATATTTACTTTACTATATGTTTTGAAAAGCAGCGAGCGGAGATGTATATCGAATAGTGTGCACAGTAATAGGAAAAATTACATTATTCGGAAGACAACACAAGTATAGGGCTGATTCACGCTATGCATTAACTAAAGTGGCAATTATTTCATTTGCTATCGTTGTGAACGGATAATATGAACATTCTTTGATGACATACCGATTTGGAAGCAGTATGAGAACTTCAAAAACATGGACAACACTGTTTCCAACAGTGAGATCATTCAAGAAAGGGTCCCAGGTCGAAGAAAATGACCTTAAATAGAATCATTGAATGCTCATCTGATGATCGTGAATGACGCATAAATGAATCATGTTTAGATCATTTATGATCATAACTAGCTCATTTTAAGGTTATTTATTGTCACATATCTGGCACATAATAAGGTCATTTTTTGATGAGCTAATTATGACCTTAAAATGGCCATAGATTTATTATCATATTTAGCTCATTTTTGAATCATTTATAGGTCATTTTTACATCATCTTTCTACCGGATTATATTGGATGATCATATTAACGTCATTTTTAGATCATAACAGATCATAAATGAGCCATTTATGTATCAGTCGCATGAACGAATTATGAGATTAAAATGGCCTAAAAAAAAGCGAGGCGCTTTTGGATCATTTTAAGGTCATAATTAGGTCATACGAATGATACATTAATAGGTTACATATGACTAATCTATAATATAAGAATTCGATGATTTCTTTCCTCTGGCTTCATTCGAATATAACGTTTTTCATTTCAGAGAAATAACCCCACGGCTAGAAACAAGCTCATTCTCAAAATTCAACCCCGATGAAGAGTCTCAAAGGCTGATTTTTCTATGCTTTCTAGAGTGCTGGATATCAGCCATTACAGCCGTTTTCTTTTCTTTTTTTCAGCCTTGACTTGGGCAAAGTGTGAGAAACATGAAAAAGCCTCCTGTGGAAGTAGGGTTTTAATGTTTAGTTAATCAAGCGGAAGCAAAGTACAGTTGCACTTTGTTTTTTGAAATGCACTAAGTTTTTGTCAGTTTTTGCTGCGACGCACTTTGTAAAAAGGTGTTTTATGTGGTGAGGGTGAGGGTGAGGGTAGCAAGAATGAAGAGAGAATGAATACGCAAGCCTCGCACACAGTGTTTTTAATAGAGGTTTTTCCAAAGTGGATTTGTGCACTTGAGTACTTTTTT